GCTTTTTGCATTTGACTGATGATGATTTTGTCAATAATATAAATTATTATTATTCTTATTATTATTATTATTATTATTAGTAGTAGTAGTAGTAGTAGTATGTTAATCTTTGGTGAGATTCACAGCCTTTGGGGCTGGTTCAGGGGTGGGTTTCTCGCCCCGTTCCAACCGGTTCGGTTGGAACGAGGCCGGCGGCGTCCTCGCACATGCGCGCACCGCGTGCATGCATACTAGCGTCTGTGTGATGCTCCAGCTGCTCCTGGAGGATCGCGCAGGTGCTGTATGCGTACTGCGCATGTGTGGAAGCGCAGAATTCGGCAAAACCGGGTAAGGAGTGGGCGCGGGTGCGCGCGGGCGCACGGGCGCAGGGGGGGGCCCTTCGCCGTTCCCGGAAGTTACTTACTTCCGGGTTCGGCGACCAACCGGATCGCGGGGACCGCCGCGAACCGGTTGAAACCCACCCCTGGGCTGGTTGGTAACTCAACAGCTCGAGTCCTAACCAAGGACCTAGGAACTTTTAAAGTAACATTGGAGGATATAAGCTGTTCCAAGTAGGGTGGTTTTTTGTAGAGTTATTATTTTTTTGTAGTTTTTTGTAGTTATTATTAGTTTGTTGTTGTTGTTGTTATTGTTGTTGTTGTTGTTGGCAGCAGCAGCAGCAGCAAATTGAGAGAAGGAAACTGGTGCTGCCCCAAGAACGACACACATGCAAGCATATGACTATTGTTGACAGTCTCAGAGTTGTGTTTTTCTAGCCTAAGCTCTCCCTATCAAAAGAAAAGCTTTAAGACCTGGGGATTAAGTGTTGCATGATAGGAAGATTCAGCAGGTTCTCATCTGATAAAAGAATCTGCCAGGTTCTTATTATGCAATTATTAAAGACAAAGGTGCTCCTGAAATTCCACTCTGGTTCTCTGGCATCAGGTATCTCTGAGAAAAAAAAGGCAGGGAGTGAGTGTGTTGTGTATCCAACACTTACATGGCAATCAGACGGGCTACTGTGGTGCCAAAGTGATCAAAGATGTAGCCAGTAGGGAAGGTCATGAAGTTGTTCATGAAGGAGCCAATGGTGAAGATGAGAGAGAACTGTTCATCCTGAGCAGCACAGCCTGTAAATTAGTGAGGAAATGTAATCCTTAATGCCACATAAAACCACAAGCAGACATTTACTATCTCTTATCTTCCATACTGATATATTTGGCTTTTCATTCCCCAGGTTTCCCTAGTCAACCACATCAACTCTGTATTTTTAATAGCCAGCAGTTCTCTTCTGGAATAAGTGATGCAAGGAGACTTGAAAGTTTCATATTCAAACTCCCTTTACCTTTCATAATGGCACCACTAAACCAACTGCTGCTATTATTAAATTCAGTGAGAAGACTTTAGTAAGCATCAAGCAGAATTTAAGCCCATGGGCCACATATTGGGATGGGTCATAGGGTTGATAACCATCTTCAGTTTTGCACTGGTGGAATGTTTTTTAAACGTTCAAGCAATTGACAGTTCAGGGTGATGAAATTGGTTTGAGGGAATAGCAAGTAGCTACTGTTCCTACCATGTGGCTGTATGAAACTAGTTGCTAGTTTAACCTTTGGTAAATGCAACAAAGGAAAAAATACCTTCCCCTTCAAGTCTTCTCAGATCATACCTTGAATTGTTCGATTGGTGGTTGCATTGACAGCTGACTCGCAAAAGTTGTCAAAGTACTTCAACTGTTTGAGGACATAGACCAGCGATGTCCACCCAAAAATGACTCCTGCAAAGCACATGCACTCCACCAGGCCTGTAATAAATGTAGCCAGACGTTTGGCTGTTCTCGCCTTCTGAGACTCCATGGCTTCAGGAGCACTTTCCTTCCGTTTCTCTGTCTTTTCTAATCTGGCAGGTAAAGAGAAAAAAGAATAATTAATGGAATGATTAGTCCCCTATTTCATTCTAAACTATTATTTCATTACATAGCCAGAGTTTCATTCATTAACCAGGGTTTCCGGAATAAGCCACAATGCCTGAGTCACTTAAGCCAGAAATAATAGCAGACAGGCCATGGCACTGAATATACACCTCACCCTAAACAAAAGTTAATAGCAACATTATGGTTTAGTGCAATGGATGAACTAGTCAAACATAAACCCCTGGAACTAAAATACAGATACTCAACCATTCATGTGTAGCAGGGGGGAGGAGGGAATAAAAGGAGGGTTTGGGAGGAAGGGGAGGAATGCAAGAGAAGGAAGGAGGGGCTTGGCTGGGAGAAAAAAAGAAGAAGAAAAGAGCAGGAAGCTGGGGAAGAGGAGGTGGAGACCAAGAGAAAAAGGGGAGAGGCTTCTGTAAAGCGAGACTAAGGGAGGGAAGAGTATAGGATAGCAGAAGTTTCTGTGAGGCAAACCTGAGGGGGAGAAGGGTTTGAGTAAAAGGAGGCAAGCAGAGGAAACAATGAAGGAGCAGAGGCTGTGGAAGGAGAGCCCAGCAGGCAGTTCAAGAGAGAGTGAAGAAAGAGGAAGAGGAAGAAGGTCCAACCAGCCAGCTGAATACTACCCCATCACGGGACCTGCCTGCTGAGCGGAGGCTGACCACCAACCCATCAAGTGACTCTGGCAAGTAGAGGTGCATCAGAGAGGGACCAGGGTGGACTGGCAGCCATATGAAGAGGGCCAGGAGAACCCAGACTCCAGTGGCCCTTACAAGGGTTAGCGCTATACATATATTTCCCAATTATTAACTATGGTAACAATTGAAACCTTTCATCCAACACTGAGATGACTCCGTTGCCTCTGCACTGGAATGTATAATTGCTTTTTGACAGCAAAATTGGTAGAGTTGCTAGGCATCTCTTGACAGCCTCCCAAGAACGCTGACCATGTTTCTCATGTCTTTGTTTTAAGTGAAGTCCAGGCAGTGACAGAATGACAGCAGTAGCTACTCTTTGGACAGACACTCCCTAAACAATACCTGACTGGCTAGTAATCGCTCCCAGGAAAAAGGCTGGGGCATGCAGGAAACTTCTCACCATTTCAAATGAAATTTCACAAGATTGATCAAACTAGTTTGCCACTACACAGCCTTTAAACTCAGCAAAAAAAAAAAAAAAAAAAAAACACACACACACCATCCCTGCTGCCAATGAAAGCCTTTATCAAAACTTAAATGGAGCAGGAGATGAAGATTGGAGAAGTTTTTCTTAGGAATGGAGGAGCTAATTCTCCTAAGTTTTTAACAGCCTTCTTTCCCTATTGGTTCAAGCAAAGAAAGATGTAATTTTAACCTTGTCTATTTATCACTTGCTCTTTCCACCCCAATATTTCCCTCAGGAAAATATCATATTTATACTAACCCCAAAAAGGGAAGAAGGATGAAAGTAAGAAGCCATGCCAGTGTAGTTTCATCACTTATATTATACAGATGATCATTGCTAAACAGGAAAGCATTATCTCCAGCATCTTGCAAGATTCAGAGCCATATCCTGCCATCTGCTCAAATTAAGGCAACCAATGTTCTGTCAATCACCTACTCTCCCGCTTGTCATGTGCCAGAGCCTCCAGGTACCCCCTCACTTTCCATGCTTCTAGCATTTTCCTATCTTTTATGGAAGGCTCATCACTACACAATCCTTCAACCCTGTATGCAATAAGATGGAAGCCGTTTTGTCTTCAGTTATTGTGATGGGTTGTATCTGGATAGCTTCATCACATGGCCATGTGCATGTAATTGTTTGTGTGTATCCCCTAAAACTATACAAATATGCGGTATTGCGTAACTAATAGCTGCATCTTTGCCTGTGAATCATTAATCACACATTCTTTTTAATAAAAACCTGTTCCCTCTAAACTGTGGGTGGTGGTAAATGTTAAAAATAATGTTCTGCCATTTCTGGGTTCTGCTCAATTTGCAGCCCTATCGAAATGTTAACCACTCATACTGAGCCTTTGTTGCTAGTAAACAAACATCCCATCGCCCTCACTCACTTGGAAGGGGACTGAAGTCTAGTTTCATCCCTCTGGATCTGCTCTATTTCATAAATGCAAGAGTCAAACTTCCTTTGCTATGAAAATCTGTGAGCACACCAGGTGGTGTTGCAGAAACATAACAACAAGGAAACCAGTCACCTATACTCTAGCAAACTGGCCTTTTTATAGAGTAGAGTAGCCTTGCCCTTCTCTAGCAAACTGGTCTTTTGCATTTTGTTGAAGATTGGCTTAAAAAAGAAAGAAAGAAAGCACTAAGAAAGCAAAGTAAGTTAAAATGCAGAAAGGCAATCCTCTATTAAAAAAAATGCAGGCTAAAAAGGGACTCAAAAGTACAGAATATTTTTCCTTGCAACTGCATTGTCCATTACAAACTATGATCTATTGCAAACATCTTGTCTCCTCTCCACCTCAGTCATCCAAAATGCAAAGTAATATGTGTGCATATGCATGCCTTTACGTTACTGTTGGCTCCTAGAGGCTACGTGGACAAGTCCCCACGCTTTTCTTAGCAAGATTTTCGGGATTAGTGTGTTCTTGCCTGGTCACCCAGCTATCTCTGTGCCTAGGGCAGGATACTCTCATACTCTCCCAGTTTCTAGCCTGGTGCTTTGAACTACTGCACCATACTAGCTCACAATAGCTTTATTCAGAGTAGTTAAAATGTTACAAAATAGTGAACAAGTTATTGAAGCTTCCTGGGTTATTTTTCCCAGCTGATTTTAACAGTTCCCTTTTGGAGAGAAGTTTGAGAAGAGCTGGAAACAACTGAGCTGCAGTCCAAAGTGTCTGGAGGTCACCCTATTAGGCAACCTGTTCCCGATTCCCAGCAGAACTCCATCGTCTTCACTCTTGTCAGATATGCCTTCCTAATACTATCCATTGAGTCTTTAATCCTCTTAACTCACATTTAAGTTATTTTCAACCTCACGGAACCCCTGATTCCTCACAGCCTCTGGTCTTTCTTATTTTCACTACATTTAGTTCCGGAATTGGATAATTCTCCAAAACACATGCCTAGGTCAAGCTTATTTTAGGCTGTGCAACAACCAAAAATGAAGAGAAGAGCATATTGATCTCTGACCTACCTAGTCTCCTCAGCACCGGGATGAGTTTTGTTCTCCATAAAATGCTCTTGGAAAGAATATGGGAGGCAGATGGATTTCTCAAGAGAGAAATCTCTTCCAAATGAAGACCGTGTGGCTGAGAAGAATCATCAGTAGGAGAAAGCAGAAACTGAGCCTTGACCACATCTAGCTATCGTGTGCAACAGAGTGAACAAATTATGCCTCCTCCCATAGTCTCCACCCTTCTCACAGGAAGTAAATGGATAAAGCGACATAAGATACGGAGCTTCAATTCTGCAGACAGTACTAGAAACATCATGGTATACTGACATTTAATATTTTCACACATTAATGCCTTGGCATCTGTACCAGCTCGCTGTACTAAGTTATATCACATGCCATTCTCATTAATATCCTCAGGAGCAGACTCACAAACATTCATTTTGCTACAGGTAAATATGACAAAGTGCATATGGGGTATGTGAGGATTGCAAGCATTTATTTAAACTGTTGAACCGTCTTCTTCTTCTTCACGTCCTCCTCCTCAAAGCATTGTGTGGAAAGAATCCCTGGAGTACTGTTGGTTTCCTCAACTATGATTTAGACTATGGTGTTCAGATGTGGGAAAGGGATGAAAACTGTTGGATGCATCATCTACCTAGAATCTTGTGAACCAGGATCTTATTTTGAAAATGCCTTCCCTCTGCATTGATTCCCACAGTAGAGGGCAAGGGAGACCACACACATCATGGAATCGTCATGCAGGTGAAACAAATTCATGAGTATAATGAAATCATGATGCATTCGATGTTATCGTGAACCAGACACTGTTCTGCTGTTTGGGTCAGAAATATGAAAACTTGGATATTTAGCTTCAAACAAAGAAGGGCTTACAGTCTCACAACTGTTGTCAGCAACAGGGTCTATCCAGGGGTGAAATCCACTTACCTTTGCTACTGGTTCAGTAGCAATGTGAGCGTGTGCGCAGGACCTCCCGTGCATGCACAGAGTGTCAAAAAGATAAGGTAAGCGAGCAGCGGGGGGGGGGGGGAAATCCGCCGTGCCACATGATTTAGATTAGCTAGAAAGCAGGAAGACACAGCTGATCATCAGAAAAAACGGTTCGCCTGAAACGGTTTCATTTTTTTTACTACCGGTTCGGGCAAGCCAGTAGCATTTTTACTACCGGTTTGGGTGAACAGGCATGAACCAGTAGCATTTCACCCCCATGACTAGATAGTCACAAAGTGCTACAGGTGCTCTTTAGAAAGAGGTATCAACTAACATTGCACAAGTAGGACTAAGAACAGGGGCTCTCCACTCCTGTTCTCACATCAAAAGTTCACTGCCACAAATGTTCTCACATCAAAAGATCACTGCCACACATAGAGCTATATACTACATGGACATTTTACTCCTAAGACATTTTACAGTTTTGCTTTGCAAAGGTCACATTTTCCCAGATTAAAAAGAGCATAAGTACCTACATGTTTCCTTTTCCCCAGCCAGCATTTGCACCATAAAAAGTTCTTCTCCCTGGCCCAAGCAAGCAAGAAGGAACGGCTGGCACCTCGCTGTCCCTTATCACAGCCTCCAGGCTAAGCAAAGTAAAAAGAGAGGCAGGCGACCCACAATCCAATGGGAGGTGATCAGAAATTATCTGGAGGCAAAAGAGAACCTCCCCCAGAGCTCAACCTTTTGTAGTATTCGACCAGAGGTTAAATAATGAATAATTGCTTAATTATTGCTGAATGACTATTTGCAGTTTACAGTTTAAAGGTAGGTATTGTTAAAAATATCTAGAATGTCTTAGAGGACTAAAAGTTCTACTTCATACAGCTGCAAATTAGGACAATCATCCTTTTGACATGTATTATTTCTACTTGGATTTGAAAATAGAACACCATATATTGGAAGGGAGCATAAAGTTCTCCTTTTTCCTCTTCCATTCAGCCATGTCCAATTCTCAGAAATTATCTGAACAAGTCCCTTCAGGTATTTTTGGCCAGGTTTTCTAGAAGTGATTTGCCATTTCCTGCTTCCTAGGGTTGAGAAACAGTGATTGACCAAAGATCACCCAGCTGATTTGTGTCTAACAAAACTAGATCTTACACTCTAAACCTGATGCTTTAACTCAAATTTCTGCTTACTATAAATCTGTTTGCAATAATTTCCTAAAAGTCTACTGCCTCTGCATTATAATCTTACCCATACGCATTTGCTTTCTTGCTATATCCTCAAGAAGAGCATAGTGACCAGTCTGCAGTAATGAGAAATCCACACAGAAACTATGTACAATGACTAAAGGCAAGGTCAAATCCTAGGCTTACCCATCTTGCGTAAAAACAGTGTGGAACAACAACTGATGATCTCTTTTTACTGGTCAACAATAGAAAGCGTCCTCACTTACTGGATCACAGTGTGGCATACCAGTTTGACACCCGCGGATAGAAAAAACATTACAGAGGGTGGTGAGCACAGCACAAAACATTATTAGCTGTCCCCTGATATCACTAGATGAGATCGCTAGGGCTCACTGCCTTAGAACAATGAGGAAAATCCTCGGGGATGACTCATACCTTGGTCAGCACTTCTTTACCCTCCTACCATCAGGAAGGAGATATAGAAGCATAGCCAGTTGCACAAACAGGCTGAAGAACAGTTTTTACCCATGGGCTGTCAGACTCCTGAATGTGAAATGACATCATAACTGCGTAGTACGATGGACTTGCAGGGCCGGTACAACGTGTAACATGTTCACACTGGTGCAATAGGACTGGGTTGTTAATATGATTTATTGGGTTAGGGATTTTCTGTTTTCACTGTGAGTTAGATTGTGTTGGGGATGGGGGATGTGCCCTGAGAGAGCTCAACCAATCTGATTGTATATATGTTGTGCACTGAAAAATAAATAATTGTAATTGTACTTCCATTAAAAGTCAGGAACTTTGAGGAATTGTCTATGTAGGCACACCTGCCAGATTGTGACTGGCTACATGCATCATACCAAGCCCCTGTATGTTTGAGATAGCAGAATCTGTAAATCACTGTTTACTAAAAGCAGCTAATTGTAGTCTATGCAAAGCATCATGTTTACAAAAACTACAATTTGGCCTAATGCAGATATCCAGAGAACACAAATCTCCTTTCCCTAAAAATTCAGAGCAGCTTTTAATTACAGAACTTCCAATCACCAGGACCAGATGAATTATGCTCCAGGTTTCCGAAGGAGCTGGCAGATGTGATCTTGGAACTACTGACCCATATCTTTCAAAGATACTGGCGTACTGGAGAACTACCAGAGGACAGGAAAGAGCTGATGTAGTTCCTATCTTCAAAAAAAGGGGGGGAGGGGGAATGGATCCAGGAAACTACAGACCAATCATCCTGACATCAATACCTGGGAAGTTCCTGGAAAAGCTAATCAAGCAACTAATGTGCGAGTACCTAGAGGCAAGCAAAGTTATCACCAAACACCAACATGGATTTGTCAAAAATAAAGCATCTTATTACAGGTAGTCTTCAACATGCAACAGTTCATTTAATGACTGTTCAAAGTTACAATGGCACTGAAAAATGTTACTTATGACTGTCCTTCACAGTTATGAACTTGCAGCATTCCCATGATCATGTGATCAAAATTCAGATGCTTGGCAACTGGTTCATATTTATGACTGTTGCTGTGTCCCAAGGTTATATGATCAGCTTTTGTGACCTTCTGGCAAGGAAAGTCAGTGGGGAAGCCAGATTCACTTAACAATTGGATTACTAACTTATCAACTGCAGTGATTCACTTTAACAACTGTGGCAAGAAAGGTCGTAAATTGGGGCAAAATTAACAAACGTTTCCCATTTGTGATAGGAGGTATAGTTAGGTATAGTTAGATAGGAGGTATAGCATAGTTATTTTACTATGAGATGGTTTAAGGCACGGGTGTCAAATTTGCTGTGTCACATTGCCGTGTAAAGAAATGCTGGGCTCAATTGTGGTAAGTTGAGGACTACCTGTAAGAGTAACTCCATCTATGGGGGAAAGATTTTTTTTTTAATATCTATCTTTTCTAAAGAAACTCACAAAGTTTCCATTTACTTCATCAGAAACTAAACTGTATTTTAACAGAGATTTTGTACAATGAAAATTGTAGTTTAGAATGTTGTTTTGTGACAGCAGTCCCCATCATCCTTCCATGGCCACATTATCTGGGAAAATTTTAGAGGTTTTATACCAAAGCAGTATTAAGTATAAAAAATTGGAGGTAGAATGCTTTACGATTCAAATGATAACCTGGTCATGTTATTGAGGCTGACATCTTGAAAAGTATAGTTGAGATAAATAAATGTTCAACTCCATAGAGGTAATAAACTATATATCCAGAAATGCTTTATATGGTCAACCCATCTTGCTGAATATAGCTTTGTGGTTAAGAAGAAATTAAACTATGGGGCAAAGAGGAAGAAGAATCTACTTTTTAGTCTACAGGGAAATGACTACCAGTTAATTTTTCATGCCTCGATGTCAAAACCAACGAAACCTGTAATGTTCAAATGCTGCTATAAATTGTCACAGAACAACTCCTCCCTTAAAAGATAGACATTTATTTGTAAGACTATATGCAATTGTGCTACCTGTAATATTCAGTATTGTCCATCATTCCCCTCTACCCTACTTCTCCTCCCCCTCTACCACTCCTCTCTCCCAGTCCACTCCCTCCCTTCCTTCTCACCCTCCCTCCCATCCTCTCTCCCGTCCTCCCTACCCCTCTTTCTTCTATCCCACTCCTCCTCCCCTTGGTGTATTTCTACTATATGTCAACCTATTCAGCTTGTCCTATTTTTACAGAGAAATTCAGTATTGTCTTTAATGAACATAAACATAATAAAGTTCAATAATTAAATCTCATAGGCTAGAGAAACTGACATTCAAGATTTCTGAGAAGTCAAATTTAATATTCAAGGTGAATTTATTTCATTACATAAAACATATAGCCAGCCAGCTATGAAACTTTGCCTCCAACACTTTCTTGCCAAAAATTTACTCTTCCCTCAATATTGCACAGGAATTACACACATTCCTGTAATTCTACAGAGTATGATATCAGTGCACAAGTCATGGACACACACAAACACAGTGTACATTCTAGAAAAAAGAACAGAGGAAAGCTAATCAGTTCCTATAGT